CAACTGAGCCACCCAGGCGCCCAACAGTGCTGATTTTTAAAAAGGATTTTATGAATGGCTTAGATCTTGACGGAAGCGATTTCATTTTTCCTGTGTACTAGCTTACCAATGCACACCTACTTCCAGGAGCAAGGTAGTTATTTCGCTTGTTTTATTACTGATGGTTTTAAGTTTGATCTGGAGCTGAGTGGATGGAAAGGGTGCAAAAGTGACCACCTAAGAACACCCTCTTCTATTTCTTCATGAAGAAAAGGCTCTCTTTTATCGCTGTTCCTCCATTTTTCCCATGTACGCAGCCAGATTTGAGATACCCGTTCATGAGAGGACCCTTTTTGGAGTGACCTCCACGTGTTCTTTGAATTTTCATGGCATAGTCAGGCTCTGATCCTTCAAGACTTCTCAGAAAGCCCCTATTTTTGTGGTTAAGTGGGGAAAGGGGAATACAGATTTGGAAAGTGAAAGATGAATCCTGAATTTCAAGATAGGTACATGGGTGGTTTTATCTCCTACCTCTGTCTTTGGGCGGAGTGTCGAACTAAAAGAGAAAGGTTGCGTTATCCACAGCCTTAGTCATCTGTCAGAGGATTTGTGACCTTTCCTGGGATGCATGCTAAGTAAGCGTTTGATGACCCCCCTCCCTCCCGGTGCTGCTCCACACTGCACGGCCTTATCCAGGGAGTCCACTTGGCTTTCAGTCTCCTCTGATCACTGTTTGTGAGTTGACTGTAATCCTGATCTGTTGGGGGGGAGTAGAAAGCACCAGCAGGCTCTCACTCTCATACCCAAAGTTACCTCTAGAGTGCGGAGCCCCAGCTGATGTGTTCTTTCGTAGTAGCTTCAGAGAGACAGCGTCCTCGGGGTGGGGTGGGAGGATGGGGGGTGGGTAGGAGAGGAAAGCAAGTTAAGGCATTTATGCCTTATGGACTTTAAAGAAAAACCAATGATATCCTACCAACCCTTCCCTTCTGTATTTATTTTGAAATAGGACTACGGAATGAGATTTCCTCCTCTTTTTTTTGTTTTCTTATCACAGGGGTTTTGAAGTGTTCCTAGACTAGGTGGTGCTGTCCATAAAGGCCTTGTTTTGGGATTCATAATTGAGAAGTCTTGTAGAAAAGCCTTACATTCTAGTCCAATAGAAGATGAACAAAGGAGTATCTAAACAGGAAAAAGGGAATCGTGGCAGGCTTATGCTTCTCTCTAGAACCTCTTCCTGTAGGTTCACAGGCTTGGTGCCTGAAGGAAGTCTCTGGAAACCCAACTACTGTGTGCCCAAACAGCCTGATTTCTTTTTTGCTTTTCCTTCAGGCCTATTTGAGAGGCTCAGTGCCCAGCTGACCAGCCTGATGGCACGTTGGAGTGTGTTGGAGTCCCCTTAGACGTTGATACTGACTCAGAGGAACAAACATAATACAGAGACAATCAAATACAGTTCTCGACTTGTTCAGGAAGGAGAGTAAACAGAGGCACTGGATGTTTATTTAGCTTATGACAAATGTATGGGCTTGAGAGGCGCAACGTGTTTTTATTCTGTGGATGCACCAAATAGCCCGTCTTGGAAGCCATCAGGGGGAATTCAAATAGGCAGAAATCCTCTGGTCAGCACAAACTTCAAGCTAGCAATTCTCAAGACAGCATGAAGCTGTTTTTTAGTGTCAGCTACGGTCAGAAGCGTGTGTTGTGGCATTTGGAAGAGGAATTAGAGCAGTTAGCTAATTGCATGCTTGAAAATGACAAGCCACTTGAAAATTCAAAAGTCTGACTCCAATCCAAAAAGAAATTGGTGTAGCTTTGAACTCCACGGTTGTTATTTTATCCTGAATTTCAAGCACTTCCTATCAAACATGGAAAATTTGCTTTCCACCCCCCCCAACCTTATCCTGAGTATTTTGTTATTCTTAGCCGATGTTTTGAAGTGTTCTCAATTTAAAAAGATGGAGAGAATGGGCTTTATCAGTTATATTAATTCAGTAAACAGCCTTGGATTGCTGTGTAAGTATTTTCCATGAATGCTCTGCAGCAGTGCTTGTGGTAAATTTTGAGCCTTCTAATCAGAGGCCGTAAGTGAAGAAAGCCTATCGGCCAGCAAGCCCTGAGGTTTCAGGAATTCGAAACATTTTCTGATGCATCAACTTGGGGTGCTTTCCCCACATTTTCTTTATACAGACAAAAAAAAAAAGAACTCCAGAGAGATTTTCTTAAACTGTTCCAGAAGTGAAAAGATAAGCTATCCTGACTTAAAATGATCTCTCCTTATAAAAAGGAAGTGCTTACATTCCTCAACCTGATGAGACGAGAGTCTTCTTTCATTATCGACTAAATAGAAGTTCAAAAATCAGCAAACATCACAAAGATCTCTGGTTGGTAAAAGAGGCCAGTGTGCTAATGTCTGAGGAAGAAGCCTCTTTTCCTGTCATCCCCTTGGTTTGGTCGCTGACCAGTGGAAGCTAGTAATGGAAGGGTGGGTTATGGTCCTCAAGGAGAATGAATGTTAGTGGAGTCGATGCTCAGCCCTGGTCCGAGGACTCCCTAAGGCGCCCGTCTAAGTAGAGACACCTGAAATCAAGCACGTAACTAGTGAGTGTGGATTTAAGGTGGCGTCTATGTTTTTCATGATTGCTTCTAGCAAGTTAAATTGTTCAGATTATGGAGAAGACTTTCTGGTTTTTGACTGGCTTTGAACAATAGCTGAAAACTCAGGGCTTTTGTACGTTAGCCTGCTTGTTTTCTTCACTACAGTCTGTGTGCGAGTCAGCATTACTCCTGGGATCACATTTCTTCTTCTCTGTTTCCTTCTAGGTGAACTAGCTCTTGAACTTAGAAAGAAAACTTCTGCTTCCCAGGGTTCAGGGAGAGAGAGCTGGTAGTGTTGATTGAGAATGTGCGCAAATGACAGACGAATCAGCGGGAGGTGCTTCTAAGTGAATTTCATTTCCGAGCAGGGCATAGAAGGCAGCAATGAGGAGGAATACCCTCGTCCACGTGGCCCAAGGGGTTTGCAACCTCAGCACTCATAACTTTTGGGACTGGATCATTCTTTGTTGTGGGCAACTGTGCTGTGTGTTATAGGATGTTTAGCAATATCCCAAGCCTCCCCCTAGGAGATGCCGGTAGGCACCTCCGGGTATATCAACAAGCAAAGATACCTCCAGACATTGCCAGATATCACCCGGAGGGCAAGATCACCTGCAGTTGAGAACCATCAAAAAAGCCTTATAGAATCTCAGGCCATAGTTATGTGCAGAGTCCTAAGTGGGACTTCCAAGATCTCATTCATTTCACTCAAGCACACCTTCCCATTATCAATCTGACTTTGACAGTTGATAATTCCTCTTTCTAATTCACTCTTATTTTTATCCTCAGTTGAGACGAAACTTTCTCTCATAGGTTGTCTGGTCACTGAGGTCACTAGGTCCTAGATCTGCCCTCAGTTCCAGGTTGAAAACTTCTCTCCTCACATCTACTGTACCCTGTCTCAGGTTCCCTGGCTTCTACCCACAGCATTGCCTGGAATAAACTGGTAGGCTGCTTTAAGTTGTTTCGGTTCAAAAGCTTTCTCTCTCTCTCTTTTTTTTTTTTCATTTCATTTTGTTTTATACCACACTTTCTCAAAGCGTCTCAACTACTTCACTCTCTTATGGCTCCATACCTTGACCCCTCTCCTCATTATTATTAGCCCATGGGGGTGGAGCCGAGCTCATGCCACACATACTAGGTCTCATTTGCTCAAAAGGATCCATTGGCACAAATCCCAGCAACCCTAATGATCAGTCACATTTTGGTTTCTTCAATGCCAGGCTGCGTTCCTTTCCATCATGTGGGATTCAGTGGCCCGGTGGGCAGAGGGGTGTCTAGGTTGCCTTGCAAACCACAGTTTTCAGAACCATCCTTCTCTTCATTCTGTAACCTGGGCTTCCAACTCCCAATAAACCACTTATTTTCTTTTTTTCCATTTTAAGGCCACGGGTGGATACAGGGGTGGGCTGAGGATAGAGGTGAGGGACTGGTCTCTTCTTTTTTTTTTTTAAAGATTTTATTTATTTATTTGAGAGAGAGAATGAGACAGAGAGAGAGAACATGAGAGGGGGGAGAATCAGAGGGAGAAGCAGACTCCCTGCTGAGCAGGGAGTCCGATGCGGGACTCGATCCCGAGACTTCAGGATCATGACCTGAGCCGAAGGCAGTCGCTTAACCAACTGAGCCACCCAGGCGCCCCAAGGGCTGGTCTCTTCTTAATGCTCTTTTTTTACTGTTGCCTCTGGTATCAAACATCATTAAAACATTTGTGTATACAGATAGTTGGGTATACAGAATGGGAGCCACTCGACAGTAGCGTGTGACCACAAAGAATTTCTAAGAAGAATCGTTGCGAAGTCACTAGCTAAGTGTGCATTCTTTTTCATTAGCCAGGAGGTTGTAAACAAGTAGCATTACTTTAGACATTTTACCGGGATGTTGCTTCTGTCTCAGGTGGGTTTGGTTAGGAGTCTATAAAAGCAGATTATACATTCAAGGGAATAGGAAGCAAGGAGAACCAGGTATCGAAGATAGTGAAGAGATAACATGTAATGTAAGAAACACCTGCCAATTTCTTTGCCAGTGAGGGTGGAAGAAAAACTGTTTGTTTTTTTTTTAAAGATTTTATTTATTTGACAGAGATAGCGAGAGAGGGAACACAAGCAGGGGGAGCAGGAGAGGGAGAAGCAGCCTTCTCGCCGAGCAGGGAGCCAGACGTGGGGCTCGATCCCAGGACCCTGGGATCATGACCTGAGCCGAAGGCAGACGCTTCACGACTGAGCCACCCAGGCTCCCTGAAAAATTGTTTTGAAGGAAAGTAGATACGTGTTTTGGAATGTGATGGCTGTAGATCAGAAAAACTAATTTGTATGTCATTGGCAAAGTATCAAAAGGAAAGTAAACACACACACACACATACACCACCCCTATGCTTCCTATGAAGATATACCTAGAGTGATTTAAAACATAATTTTATGTGTAACAGAAGAGGGGAGTCAGGATAGGAGATTCATGTATTCAATACATTTTAAAGCTGGTTATGTTTAGTCTCTGCAGATTCTGAAATCCTAGTCTGGTGAAAATACAGATTGAAATCCTAGATTTTAATGTGATTAATTTTTTTTTCTTTAAGCTTGAAGAAGAATTCCAAAGAACGGCCAACATATCCAGAACTTATGGTACGTATTGTTAGCGGTGTAAACCTGTCCAAACCAACAGCTAGTAAAAAGGTAAAGTGACTAAGACCTAAATTATAATCAAACAACTGTATCAGGAGAGCTGGTTCATTGAGACGTTGGTGACCGGAAGTGAATTCAAGCAAAAAAAGAGTGTGTTCTAAATCCTTCACGTGTCCTAAGTCCTTCTTTAGTATGACCAGGGGCAGGTCACCTTTCTTAGCAACTTTTTCCATTTTGGTAATCTTGTCATCATATGGACTAAATGATGCCGATAAAATTTACATTTTCTTTTTTTTTTAAGATTTTATTTATTTATTTGACAGAGAGATATAGTGAGAGAGGGAACACAAGAAGGGGGAGTGGGAGAGGGAGAAACAGGCTTCCTGCTGAGCAGGGAGCCCAACGTGGGGCTCAATCCCAGGACCCTGGGATCATGACCCGAGCCGAAGGCAGACACTTAATAACTGAGCCACCCAGGCGCCCCAAAATTTACATTTTCAGGTTCTCAAGATATCAAGAGTCATCAATTGCTAATATAAATGAGGGAAAGCAGGATTTAAAGGATTTCAGCAATGAGGAAAACACAGATATTTTTGATAAGATATTTAGGATTCTTTGGACAGGCTGCTTTTTGATGGGTGTTTAGGGAGGAAAGACTGTTTTCTCCTTTTGGTTTTCACGCTAGTGGAAAAAAGTAAGACCAAGCGTTATCAGTTTGAATTATATTAGCTCTGCATTCACAGCTTACTGTTTGTACTATCTCTGAAGAAAAAGTGAAAATAAGACCTCAGAAGAGTTGTTTTAAAATAGTTTCTCTTACATTGTTGTAACTACAATTTTAAGCTAATTCCAAATGATTCTTTAGTGTAGATGGCAGGGGCAAAACTTGGAAACTTTTATCGAAGTATATATTGAAACACATATTGGGGGGAAATATGATAAAATTGTAACTACTTACTAATTTGCATTAACCATTCCTTAGATTTGTTTCAGTTATCAAGTTGTTTCTTTTTTTTTTTTAAGATTTTATTTATTTGAGACAGAGAGAATGAGAGAGACAGAGAGCACATGAGAGGGGGGAGGGTCAGAGGGAAAAGCAGACTCCCTGCTGAGCAAGGAGCCCGACGTGGGACTCGATCCCAGGACTCCAGGATCATGACCTGAGCCGAAGGCAGTCGCCCAACCAACTGAGCCACCCAGGCACCCCAGTTATCAAGTTTTTAATTTTATCAGGGGAAGGAAGAGTTTTGTTCAGTAGAGATAAGAGCAGAGATTGACATTTATTCCTGGAGCACAGGTATTCAGCAGGCATTAAATGCTTGCTTCTGTCCCACCCCAAGACAAGTAGCGCTCAGTCTTTAAGACCCGCTTAAGGCAGGTCCTAGTCCTTCTAGGTTCCTGAGATCTTTTAACAAATGGTGTGGTGAGGTGGCTCTGACATGGAAAAAGTATTTATGTGACATATACTATCTACAAATAGATAATTGGCCATTTATATATCTTCTTTGGAAAAATGTCTTTTTTTTTTTTTAAGATTTTATTTATTTATTTGA